TACTAAATATAATATGCAAGGTTCTGCCAAACTGCAGGCTACATCTATACCCACTAGTAAATACATTTAAGAGAAAAAAGACCTAAATAAATCAAATAGGTAAGCATACCATTATTTGAGAAAATAAAGAATACCGTATTCAATTACTTAAATGTTATAAAAAAGAGAATTACAAATAGCAGGACCTAAAGATAAATGGACATAGGATGACATTTTTCATATCTACACAACAAGATGAGAAGAAGACTTTAGAGCATCAAAATTTAAAGCATTATCTCTGAAAGTGAATCAATATTTTTCAATATAATTCCCTCCACATTTTCCAAGTCAGAAATCATTTAGTAATAGCAATTTTCAACTACAACAACTGCAAAAGAAAAAACCTTTTGTTAAGTCTTCCATATAGTTATTAGGCAAGTAAAACCATTGGTTTCATGGAAAAAAAAAATTGTGTAAATAATATTATTGCATTTTCCTTTTTTAAGAAGAATGGATGAATCAATTATAATTAAAGATAAAAACAATATTAGAATCTTTTTATATCAAACATTGCCAAAGCCCCACATTCAAAACAACCTTGACAATTTCCAAAAGAGCTAAGATCTCAGCCTAAATAGCAATTTAGTGTCATCCAGCATAGAGAACCCAAGTATCTAATTTATCAAAGTGAAAGCTAATTAACAATCTTGCATTATCCTGAGCTAGAGTATACAGTATATACATATTTGTTATAAAATGTGAGTGCACTAAAATACAAGAATGTGTGATGTGTCAATGGGTATTGAGGTCCCTCTATACGCTGGAAAATGTCAGGATAATACTTTGTCTAATGCTATTGGTGGATTTAGCCATCCTTATCCGCTATACTAGGGTTTTTTAGTGTGACAAAAAGTTGGTATAAGGCATCCTTCTAGTAGCCTGCAAAAAAGAGAGCCAAGAGAGGAATATTGAGCTGAAATAGGCTGCATTGCAAAAGGGGCTCGAAGCTGAATATAGTGAGTGTTTAATGGATGATTTCATGTTTATCCAAGTCTATTTTATTCATTGAAATCCTCATGAAGAAGCTGCAGATGTGTTGAACAGAAAGGAGGGCTTGTGTTGCTGATTTTCTGGTGTAAAAGAGTAATTCAGAGCTTTAACATCTATGAAGGACAATTCAGAGGTTTGTACAAGTTAAGGCAAGTATATTCTATCTATTTAAAGCTGCAGAAAACCTGTTCTTAAGCATATAAGTGCTGTAGCTAAATTTGAGGTCTCATTGTTTGTTATTGTTGCTAATTTTTGGTTTAAGTAACAGAATTGAGTTATATATATACAAATCATGGTGTGAGTTGATTGTGTACCCTTGGAACATGATTGTGTTGATGATTATAAGCTGTTGAAGTTGGTTTATTTCCTAAAAAGTGGTCAGTGCTTGTTTTGACATCTTAAACCTCATAAGCAAGGGTTTTAAGCTTAATACACTGAGATCACAAAATTAAAATTAAAGTGTTATGCCTCAGTTAGTGTGTTCTACATCAGAGCATATGTGTAATGATGGTTCTAGTTTGTGAGAACTCAATTCAGGCCTGAGATTATACGAAATTCCAGAAATACACTTCAGTCAAGCAATTCTGCAGAAACTGTAGCTGAGGAGAGTTTGTGAGCTATTTCTTGAATATTAATTACTGTGTTCGTGTGGTGGTTAATCTGAGCAAGTGTAAGGTGAGGAAACAGAGCCGTGGACCTAAGCTTTCAGAGGTGTCTAGGCAAAATACCAGTTTTACCCCTTCATATTAATGTTAATTTAATGCTGCTGTTTTGAGCCTGCTGTGAGTTTTCAGTTCTGTTTGTGAGTTGCAAATTGATTTACCTTGCTGCTTTAAGAATTTTTTATGCACCAGCAAGTGTATTTTATGAAGAAAAAGCTGTGACAACTGTTGGTGGTACAGGACTGAAATTGTATTAGTGATATACACACACAAAACCCTAAAAGCTAGGGTTAGTTGAGTTTAAGCCATTTGAGTGCTGTGATTTACATAAAATTGTTTCTCCTTATGTTGATTTTGTTTTCCCAAGCCCTCTATAATTTTGGGACTGAGACTCAAAAGGCTAACAAAGAGTCTGCAACTTTGACCCTTAAAGTTTAAATAATATTAGTGTCAACAATGCTCTGAAAAATGTGTGCAAGAGGTGCAAGAGAGAGAGAGAGAGAGAGAGAGAGAGTTTTTTACTGGACCCCTTCAATAGGAGGGTATATTCTTCCTAGAGAGTTGGTGTATAAAATGATTAGATATGAATTTTTGACACTTGGACTTAATGGTTTTTATCTTTATCTGAAGTGAGCCCTTTTCAAGGGAAGAGACTAAAAAGGCGTTAACTAGCTTGGAAAGTGGGGGATAGGGTAGAGGGATAAGGCTATGAATAGACTGATGGAATGAGGGCTTTTCACTTTGATTAAATGAAAGAGGCTTTTACATATTCTCCCTTTCAAGTTGAGAAAGTATTTTATTAAAAGACGCAGCACACAACTAGCCAAGCTTGAAACAATAATTCAGAAAAGCTATACACAAAAGCAATTAATTTATAATTAATTAAATTTAAATCAAGTCAAATTTTAAAGTATAGAGAATCAAATAGGAACAAATAATACAAAACATTAAGAACAGAATCAAAACAGATTCACAACTACTTGTATTCATAAAGTTTGCCAGCAAAGCAAGTGGAAGCTTCCTGACTATAAAGGGCAGTTAATTCAAACCAATACTAGATATTGTGTATGCCCAAATGCATTACCGACAAGCAAATTTACAGTTAATCTCCACATCCAAACGCAAATAATCTATGTCTAGTACACTGAAAAAGTAACACATGATATAACTTGCTATCTAGTTAACTCTTTCAGTTATCATTTATGACTGAAGATGGTCAAAATAATTCTCGAAATAGTACAAATTAGGGACAAAGAAATATGCAGTCATAACATAACCACAGTATGTTCTTTGGGGAAAAAGTCAATGCAATTTTTATCTAAGCCAATGTTCAAATTATATAACCAGTTTAGTGATTCTATACACAACTTCAAAGTTGTACACTAAACACCTACTAAGCCAATGTTCAAATTATATAACCAGACCAATGCTTTTCAAATGAAGCAAGTACCCTTGTTTGTTGATCATATTGGATCACTTACCCAAAAAAAAATATTTATAGAAAAACAAAAATCATTCCTATATTTCCCAGCCACTTCTAAGTTTTAACAACAGAGAAGATTTCTAGGGATAAGGGGTGACACGGAGATTAATATTAAAATGTCACACCTAGATTTATGAAAAAAAAATCAAAACTCCTAATCATTATTATATATATGTGTATGCAGAGAGATAGAGACATAGAGAAGACCATGAAAATTGGCGAATCTTCATGTTAAGTTAGATGATTTAACTTCTATGAAAAAAAAAAAAAAAAAAGATTTCATAACTTACATATGCTTTGCGAGCATCATCACTAGTCCATCCAGTCTCTTCCTTGAAATGCGCATTCTTGTACATTTTGATGGCAGGTCCTACAATACGATCCTCATTCTCTTCATCACTATCTTCATCATTTAAAGTAGCTTCCTTTTGTTTCTTCATTAATTATTTTTATATATTATAAGGTATGGTTGTTGAATGAAAAGAAAATAAAGAAATCTAAGTATAGTGTTAGATATTACATACCTCCTCATAATGCATTTTGGCAAACGACTTTGACCCAGCATAATGTATCACATCATTCTTTGACCTGTTTTCTTTGTTCTGGGCACTAATTTCCTACAAAATAATTGAAAAATGATACAACAAATAAAGGAAAGAATGAAACGTTAAAATCTTTGGAAAACGATATAAATAGAAAAAAATGTTGTAAACTTAACTTGAAATTTTTTTGACATCCACCTATTGCACAAGATCTGCCAGTCCTCGTAAGTTACTTCAGGATGTGTGTTGCGGCGTGCACTTTCTTCTGTTTCGAATTGGTTAAAATGTTCTTTCAAATGGTACCTATACTTCCTATGAGCAATGGCTAATGCGTTATCTGCGCATTCTTTAGCTTTTGAATCGTTTTCATAATCAACTCCGAATTCTTCCTGTAGCTTTTCACATGAATAAGCCATAAATAAATATCATTTTAAAGAAGGAAAAATAACAGAATCCTGATTTTGGAAAGCTAAAAAAGGAAAAATTACAAATTATTTTTCATATCATCTAAATATACAAAGAAATCACACACAAAGATATGCATTAATTAAGGCAAACCTTTATTTTACAATATAAGAACTGTTTATGAGATTTTGGAATCTTCAGCCAATTGTTATAGCATAGTGGAATGTAATCACGAGCAATGATCCCAAGCTCTCTCTCCCATAAATCTGAATGTTCCCCCACCGTTTTTGAATAATCGTCGTTAAACTTAATCGGAATGATACCCCCATTGTAATTTTTGATTTTATATATATATTTTTTTAACAGCTTTTCCACGCTTCGGGAATTCTCTTGAAGAACCTGAAAAATAAAAGACATGAAAGTGACTTGTAAAAGTATTTTGAGACCTACTTTTAGTAAATTCAAAGACCAAGTGTAGTAAATGTAAAGATTAGAAAATATCACCTTCCACTATTGGTTGTGGCTGGGACGATGCAGGAGCATTTTGGGTGAGTTCATTGTTAGATCTCAAAGAGCGACGAGGTTCATTGGATGCCATGGTATATTACAGCAAAAGGCGAATAAAATCTTTATAACGAATCAAAAAATCGATAGATTAGAGAGTAATAATTAAGTAAGAGGGAGAAGTATTAAAATAACAAGACAATAGAAAATTAATATAAAGAAAAATAATAGATAATGTGATTGTAAAAAAAGAAGTAATAATAAGACAAAAAGATAAAAACAATGCATATTCTAAAACTTAATGTTCAAGTACTGAAGACAATTTAACTTCAAATTTGCACATGTTCATCAAAAAATGAATAAAAATAAAACTCATCACATGTCATCCAAATCAGTATCATCTTCACTAAGCAATTCTTCTTCCTCGTCTGAATTGTCTTCAATGGAGATTTCATCATTGTTTTCAAGAAAGTCAAATTCATAACGTGATTCTTGACTAGTTTTAAGAATTATTTCAGCATCAATACTTTCAACCTCCAAGCCATCCCTATTCAAAGGGAGTGGATCCATGTCAAAGTCCGTCGCCTCAACAACCCTATCCACAATACATGGTTCATCCTCTTGATATGCTGCAGTACACATTTCAGCTGTAAGTTTGCTATCATCCTCCATTTCAGGAACATCATAGGAGCTTCTATGTGTTATATCTTGAATGACCTCCCACGTCCCTCGTAATTTGCTGTCTTTGACGAAGAAGGCTTGTTTAGCTTGATTAGCCAACACAAAAGGCTCATATTTGTACCATTTACGGGCTATGTTTACGCTTCTGAAATAAGTATCACTCTTAATACCAGTCTTTGTGTTGAACCAATCGCATTTAAATAGGACAACCCGCTTTTTCAAAGCGTATTGTAACTCAATGATATCTATCAAGACGCCATAGTAATCAAGGTCCTCTGTTTTGACTAACACACCACTATTTTGTGTTCTTCGATTTCTCTCCCTTTCCTTTGTATAGAACCTAACTCCGTTTACAATGCAACCAGAATATCGATGTATCCGAGATTCAGGTCCACACGCTAATGAATAAAGGTCATCATTAATTGTTGACTTGTTATGATAACGCTTTTCCTTTATCTATGAAAAATTTGTAGAGTGTTAAACTAATGCACAAGGACATAACATCTAAAAGAAATGGTAGGTATGTCAAGCACATTATAGACTTACTAGTGTTTCCAACCGTCTGGGAAATTCTTTTGCGTGTCTGGATTGTACATTAACCGTATTTTCTTGCTTAAGTGCAGCCTTGTGTGCACTAAATAATTATTTGATATTAATATATGCATTTTATAATTTACAAGTAGATAATTTAAAAAAAAAAAATACAATATATAACTTACAGTGCGTATGACTCAATTTCTGGACAATTATTTAACACGTAGAATCGAGCCTTTTGTATGCTTGCAATGTCAAGTATTTCTAAACTTCCAGACCCTAAAGGACGAACCACTTGCCTTAGCTGTGAAAAAGTGGACTAATTGGTACGATAGTTGCCCTCGTGATTTCTTTCTTCTCGATTAAATCGTGTCTCAATCCCTTGAAGAAACCTTGAGCAAAATGTGACACATTCATTATCCACATAAGCTTTGGCAATAGACCCTTCAGGACGTGCCTTATTACGCACATAAGACTTAAGAGTATGTAAAAACCTGCATACACATCAAAATACTTATACATAATTAAATATCATGTAATGCCCCCAAAACATTTTATGTATTAGAAATATATAGCACCTTTCAATGGGATACATCCACCGATATTGGGCAGGTCCTGCGATGATAGCCTCACGTGGCAAATGCATAGCCAAGTGCACCATTATGTCAAAAAATGATGGAGGAAATATCATCTCTAACTTGCATATTATAATAGCAATGTCCATTTCTAATGCCTCTAAGACATCCATTTTAAGGGTCCGACAACACATCTCCTTAAAGAATAAACCAAGCTCTGCTATTGCATTACAAATATCAATGGGTAACAATCCCCGTATAGCTAGAGGGAGGAGACGCTGTAAGAGAACATGTGAATCATGACTTTTCAATCCAGATATCTTACATTCATTGACATTCACACAACGACTTACTTCACCGACTTTAACCAATCACACAATTGCCTTTTTTCATCCTTTGACAATGTGTAACGCGCAGGTGGCATCTCAAATTTCTCACCATTACGCCTAAGATGAAGTTCTTTTCTAATACCCATTTCTTCTAAATCCATCCGACTTTTGAACGTATCTTTTGTCTTTCCTTCAATGTTCATTAATGTCCCCAATACGTTATCACATATGTTTTTCTCTATGTGCATAACATCTAAGTTGTGCCGCAACAAAAGCGTTTTCCAATAAGGCAATTCAAAGAATATACTCTTTTTTGTCCAATTAAGTTCCTCCTTCACACGAGTCCGCTTCTTATTGTTTGGTCCTTTTCTGAATCTAACCTCGGGTATGAGATTAAGTTGTTCTAGAATATCATCACCAGTCAACTGCTTTGGTGGCTGTCTTTCTTCCTTCTGACCATTAAATTGCTTATAACGCTTCCTATAAGCGTGTTCGGATGACAAAAAAATACGAGCTCCCAAGTAACATATCTTCTTTCCATGACTCAAATAACAGGAACATGTGTGTTTGTTACAATTTGGACATGCCATATAACTTTTTGTCATCCATCCGGATGTCATCGCATAGGCGGGAAAATCATGTATAGTCCAAATCAACCCCGCATGCATATTAAAGTGAGATTTGCTATAGGCATCATATGTCATCACACCATCCATCCACAATTCTTTCAACTCATCGATCAACGGTCGCAGGTACACATCAATGTCATTACCAGGTGATTTAGGACCAGGAATAAGCAATGACATAAACATATATGGTTCCTTCATACATATCCAAGGTGGCAAATTGTAAGGCACAATAGTTACAGGCCGCATACTATAAGCATTGCTCATGTTACCAAATGGATTAAAACCATCACATGCTAACCCGAGAAGAACATTACGAGGATCGGAAGTAAACCAACTATGCTTATTGTCAAATTCCTCCCAAGCTTTTGAATCAGCTGGATATCTCAACACATTTGTCTCTTTGACGCGTTTCTCCTTATGCCACCACATGTCTACGGCTGTATCCCTTGACATAAACAATTGTTGAAGCCTGTGTTTCAAAGGAAAGTATCGTAGAACTTTTTAAGGAATTTTCTTACCTTTACCTTCGCGAGACTTATACCTTGACTCACCACACTGTGGACAACATTCTTTACCTTCATTCTCCTTCCAGAATAAAGCACAATCATTTTTACATGCATGGATGGAATCGTATCCGAAACCCAAGTCACGTAATAAGCTTTTAGTCTCGTACTATGACTTTGGCAACGTGTTGTCATCAGGAAACAACTCCTCTTTTAGCAAGCAACATGTCAAAAATTTTGTTGGTCATTCGGCCTACAACTTTCATATGGAACAACTTTAATATTGCTGACAACTTAAAGTTTTTTTGACAACCTGGCCACAATTCACATTGTGCGTCATTTAGCAATTTCTTAAATCTTTCGTCTCCCACATCAACTTCAGGTGGATGTTCTGCTTATTCTGCATTAGTGAATGTTCCCATTCGTACATTATCCAACAGTTCAAATACATTGTCTTCGTTTCCACGTCCCTCATCGGCATTATCCCCATTGTCGGTATTAACATCATATTCTGTATTAACAGTACTAGTGATGTTAACAGTACCCTCCCCGTGCCATATCCAATTAGCATACGACTTGTACATCCCACACTGAAATAAATGTTTTTCAACTTCCTTAATTGGCTTATACATAGTATTTTTGCACAAACGACACGGACATGTGATCCTACCCTGCCCATCTTTATGTCTGTTAGCCAACTTTATGAAGTTTCTTATACCTCTATTGTACCCTTCACTACCCCTAGCATGATGATGAATCCAAGACTTATCCATGTAACTGGTTCATCAAAAACAAAATCAATTATGGATATAATAGAATTGATGCATGTTGAATATATATGTGTATGTATAACTCTTTCAATTTCCTCATCCATGGTCCTATCCCATTAAATAGAAACATGAATAATGTATTAAAATAGATGCAATTGTGTGGAAATACATTTATTAATTTTTAACACATTATTTTGTATTTCAATTATGTCGAAATGTGTTATAAACATATATATATGTAAGGAATAACTTTATTTTGAACACATTATGTACAACTATGTTCAAGACAAAAAATGTTATAGCCTCCCAAACAACCAAAAAATGAAGGAACATAATAATTATTATTTTTCCTAAATATAATATCTACCCAGATTAAATTCAAACATATTTATAAGAGAACCTTTCATTTAAACAAATTAAATTGAAGAAAACAATGAAGCTTAAAAATAACATCAATCAAAACATGAACAAACAATTCCGTATAAAATACAAAACAGAATCATATAGTTCTGTCCACAGATTCAACTATATATCACAATGTTAAGACGAAGCCAAAACCTAAGAGATCAAAAACAAAAGCCTCATTTCCTAGTACTTCATTATCTAGATGTGAACTAATTTCTAATGAAAAAATCACTAAATCTGAACCAAAAGAAGGATAAAACAACACTATTTAGTTCAAATCCAAAGCCAAACAAAACCACACGTTTATAGAAACAAGATATTCAAAAAAAAAAGAAAAAAAAAGAAGTACACTTAAAATCTAATCAAAACACATAGAGACAAATTTATCGAAACAAATAGAACAGGAAATTAAGAAATCACAAGACATTGAAAATTGGACTGTTTAATTACAAAATCACAAGATCACCTAGTTTACATCCCATGTGGGACAGAACACATCTACGCAACATAAAAAATGGTGTCTTTGGGTTTGCTTTTTTACTTCTAAATTTTGGTATGAATTCTGATCAGTATACTCGTAGTCTTGTATAAAAGTAAAATTTGGAAATTGAGCAAAGGTGATCCATGTACCCACTCTAGGTCAATTTCATATTGGAGAATCCAATTATGTATAAAGCCTTAAAACTTCCAATAGTTGAAAGAATTAACATGACTACAATTGTGTCCAGGAATATAAAAATAAAAATAAAAAAATCTGTTATAGCCTCCCAAACAACTAGAAAATGAAGGAACATAATAATTATTTTTTTTCCTAAAGATAATTTTTTCCCAGATTTAATTCAAACAAGTTTTTATTTTTGGGCAACACATGAACAGATCTGTATAGAATACAAAACAGAATCATAGAGTTTTGTCCATAACTTCAACTATATATCACAATGTTAGACGAAACCAAAACCTAAGAGATCAAAAACAAAAGCCCCATTTCCTAGTACTTCATTATCTAGATGTGAACTAATACAAATACTCACACACACACACATATATGTATATATAAGGCCATAAAAAACATGTGTGTTAAATCTATTGAACTGGTTTCTTTTACTTTTTGAACAAAGCACATTGAGTTAGATATAAAAATACTTAACAAATTACACCATACACACAAAACAATAAATAAAGAGATAACTCTAGCCTCACCAAGCCAAAAAGCAAATATACAAATCTAAAAAGCAACGGGAAAAAAAAATTAAATATAGAAAATAAAAAACACTTACAACACCCGTAGAAGAGTAAGTAGTGACACTGAACTTCTAGTCGCTCTGGTAGTCCTTATAGAGAAGATCTACGGCACGAAACAAAGAAGCAAATGATAGAAAACATTCCAAGCTATCAATCCAATCAACTGAGACAAATGGATGGGGTATTCCAAAAATATAAAGGATGGGCACTTTATGAGTTCAACTAAACATTTTGAGCTAATGCAAAATTTACAAATCCATTGAATTGATAACATTTTTGGCTGCTCAAGTGGATCAGTAATGCTGGGGATTAGAGATTTTCTTAAATACACAATACACAAGTGTTGCATTCTATAACAATTGGTTACCAAAAAATTGTTAAAATAGCTCAGTAATCTTTTGAAAAATAAAGCTTGAATTTGGTATTTTTAAAACTGTAAGATTAGCAATACAAAATAATAGGGATCATCAAGTCACTTGTTGAATTTAAAGTATTATAGGAAAAAAAATCCCCAAGAAACAATTTAGTGACAAATAACAATTTAATAAATAGCTAGTGAGTCAAACATAATTAGGGAAAAAGTCCCAGATATTGGATCAATTTGGGGTGACCTGGGAGGCACTCTCCTAGTTGGTGTGACTTTCAGCACCACTCTAACCAATTCGTGCGCACCAAGACGGGGCGTGACACCTTCTCCTTGTCAGATAAATATATATATATATATATATATATATATATATATATATATATATACATATATTTTTTATATAATACTAACTAAAAAATGAAAGAAGAAAAAAAAGCAAGCAAACAAACAAACAAAACAAAACCCTCTCTTAAACATCTTGTGAAGCTAGAACCAAGTCTGCAGAACTGGAAAAGGCAAAGTGATGGATTAAGCTGTACAGTTTCAAAATAACATTTGTCCTTGGACACATACTCTGCACTTCTTCTTATCTACATGATACACTCTAGTTATCAAAAAAAAAAAAAAAATTGTTTTCTTTTTTGTTGGCTATAGTTATTAATTAATTAGCTTTACAGCTAACATGCACTCTACTTGTGGATAAGAAGATCAATGGGATATAAAGTCTTGTTTATACATTCTGTTTTCTTATCCAATAAAACTTTTTTAAAATTTAGTTCCAAAAGAAGATGGATACAACTCAGGCCAATAATTTATAATACTACTAAATTTAGTTTGTTATGATTTTTTTTTTGGAAGATTTTTTTTTTTCCAAAAAAAAAAAAAATACGTTAAAACCCATCAGTACCATTTAGGTTAATGCAAAATTAAAATATTTCCAAAGCCATAAGAAGAATATTCAAAAATGAAAAAGTTGGGTTTGTGAGAAGATGACGGACCTGTTGCAGGGAGTGTCTAGAGTAGGAAAGTGGGTGAGATCAGAATACAAAGAAGGAAGAAGAAGCTTTGTCCACCATTGATGGACTGACTTTGCTGCCTCCCAATTGAAATGAATTAGATGTTCACCCAATTAGACAAAGAAGAAGCCAATAAACTGCAAATTATATATTACTAAGATCAATCAACAAAACCCACAAAAAAGGATCGACTTTCCAGCAAGAAAATTAAATTAATGAAGTAGCTTAGTTTATAGATTGTGCAAAGAATCTACTCTTATACGAATTATGAAATTTTACATTATTCTCAAAGTACGCGAGATATCAGGTTCCTCAATGGATTAAAAAGAAAAAGAAGTGAAGACAATTGTCTATTTTACTTCATAATAGCAATATATAGCATAACTCCTTCAAAATATATATATAAGAAAATTTATTCTATTTTATTTTATATTTTATTTTATTTAATAATTTTTTTTAATAGAAACTCACTCTTACATTCCACTTTTTCTTTTAAGGGATTTAAACCTAGATCTTCTATTTTGAAAGGTAAAAAAGTGCCACTATTTTAAAAGTAAGTTTATGTTTTGCATTACAATCATATGTTTGAGAAAATTTAGAAAACTTAACTGCAGAAGGAAAGCAGAAGGAATATATATTTTTAGCCTGGCAATTGGTTGAAGTTTGATTAGAAGTTAGAGGGTAGGTAGGCGACTCCAACAGAAGTTCACACACCAACTGTAGGGCTTCCCACCAACTGGGACATAAAGCACGTCTACCATAAGGAAATTCCTAATGTAATACCATAAGAAAATTGAAAATTGAAGTCCAAATTAATGCGCTTAATCTACAATTTGGAAGGATGAGCGCGACAAGAACTTATCTTCTGATTTCAAGTTTTAAAAATCTTCTCCAGCATTCCACAATTCTAAATCAAAATAAAAATTCAAAGAAAACCTTTACAATTCTTCTTTTTTAATTTTTCTGTCTCATTTTCACCAAAAATTTAATATTCAAAGTTAATCATAACTTGATCCTAATCCAAATACAGAGTTCCATGCATGACTACTTACCAAATTAAATATTGATCTTTGAACCCACCCCCCGTTTTCCTTTTTGTTACATTTTTTTTTTCCTTAATTTCGTT